TTTAGGTCATTTATGTTTGGATACTGCGTCAACTCCACACTTAAACTGTTTCACAGGCTCTGTCCACACAGAAACACAAATCTTTTCCTGGCTGTATACACATTGAATGCAGTGTACCTTTTATAGTTGTTGCCTCAGACTTTTGGAAAACACTTCAAATAAGATGAAACCTTATTTAAAAACTTGTTGCTGTTGTTGTTGTTTTTAATAATAATAACTTTAATAAATCTCATCTTATATGTATAATAGCTCAATCAATGTTCATACACTCCTTCTAACCAGAAGTCTGATTTGAGGAGTGAGCGTAAACTAAAGTGACCTACTCTGCCTCAACATTTCCTCCTTTTCATCCACAGGCCTGAAGGAGAGAGATTTATACTCTGTGTTGAACACATGCAATGATTTGTCTTTACGGGATGGACAAGTCACATGGCAGGAAGTGCTGCAGTTGTCCAGAGAGCCCAAAGGACGCATTCCTATGGCAACCTTCACCCGCATAGTGCAGAGTTTACAAAGGTATAAGCCCAGAGCATATAAGCATATTATTTAAGTTTTATGACATATTACGTTGTGTTCATGGAAAAAGAGGCAGTGGTCTGTGTGGTTTCTTGAGATTCCTTTAATAATTCATAATACTGTATTGTTATTATGTAATTATTTGCATTCTCTTTCTTTACAACTCAGATATTAATAAGAATAAACAATATCCTTTATTTTCCCTTTTCTTCCCTTTAAGTTTTTGTCTCAGGTTTCGATCCGAGTGTGTTTAGAGTTTTAAGCCATATTACAAAGTTTTAAATAAGCATTACACTTGAATCTTTTCCTGCAGTCTGATTGGTCCATCTCATTGCCACAATACTGACGACCTGCTGGCTTTAACCAATCCGGAGGTGAAGCAAGCCTTTGAGGACTTTTTTCTCCCCACAGAAAGTGACAAAACCAGAGCTTACCTCACACTGGCAGGTAAAGTACTTATAATTAGCTTTTAGTACACTGAGTGTAAACCGCTGTAAATGTATTGGTGAGTCTTTTGGGGGTTTTTCCCACAGCTCATCTGTGGACACAAGCTGACCCTCGGGGCCAAAATACCTTCCTTCATTGTGAAGCCAACTCTATCACGCACCTGCCTTCTAGCCTGGTTAGGAATCTTCCATCATTAATTCATGCTGCGCAACATGAATATTAATAAAATTCAGCCAAAAAACCAATACAGTAATTTATTATAATTACCGCAGATAAAACACAATATATTGTATTGTATAAGTCCTAATCTTGTGGGAATCATAGCTACAGTTGATATTTCTTGAAGATTTTAACTTCTCACTGCTTCTGTTTGGCTTTGTTTAGATTAAAAGTGGACAACTGGGGGAACTTTCTTTCCTGCTTTCCAGCTATTATTTCCTTTACGCTAATGTGCGCCACGGCTTCCTGCACCACCTCTTTGAAACATACAGCTGGTATGGTGAGTACCTTTCTGAAGCCTGTTAGGTGGGTTTCCTTTTAAACTTTTACATCTCTTCTGTGTGCAGCTGTGTATATTTTAAAATGTGGTTTTTTGAGATTACACTCCTCAAAAATTCCTGATATTTATATCCTGTAATTTCTGCAGATAAGAACCAAGAGTCTGCACCATCATGTAAGTGCTTAAAAGTACTTTACCCACAAATCCTTGCCAAGTGTTTGATTTATTCATTCCAGTTTCTTTTTGTCCTCTCAGCTTCCATCCAGGACGATTTAAAGGATTGCCGTAATTTCTTGCGGCGTCATGCCTCCACACTCTCCTCCTGGCCAGCTCTTTTCATTCAGCAGGCCCTCAATGAACCTCAAGAGACCCCCGCTCACACCTGGGGAAAAGGCATGGTGGGCAAAGGAGGAGTGCGGGTAATTGAGTGTCTGAACATTGATGGGAACAGTGATGGTGAAGAAAAAAGGTAAGAGGTTCTCCTTCAAGGTGATTTTTTTTTTTTTAATTGTCAGTAGAAGAGTTCTTGATGCCTCTTACTGTAATAAAAGTTGTCATGCAGCACTTTAAAAATATATTAAGACAAAGGTTTTAGCACCAACATGAACTTGTTGTTTCACCCGGAGAAGTCATACTTTAAAGCAGGGATGGGGAACTCCAGGCCTTGAGGGCCAGTGTCATGCAGGATTTAGATCTCACCCTGTGTCAACACACCTGAATCAAATGATTAGTTCATTACCAGGCCTCTGAAGAACTTCAAGACATGTTGAGGAGGTAATTTAGCCATTTAAATCAGCTGTGTTGGATACAGAACACATCTAAAACCTGTAGGACACCGGCCCTTGAGGCCTGAAGTTCCCCTTCCCCTGCTTTAAAGGGATGTGCTATTTTCAGATATATTTTATACAGAAAATGAAGATAAGGTTCATAATTCTGTGTTAACTGGGGTCTAATCCTCTAAAAAGAAAGGAAAGTCCATTGTGTTGTACCACCATGTTTCTGCAGTAGCTTTGCAGAACTTGGTGGTATCTCCTGACCACTAGAGGTCACCAACTGAAGTTTTTTTTTTTCCCGAAGGCTTTTTGCCTGTTGTCCAAGAGTACATATTTTTGGGGCTTTTTTTTTATTAAATTTTTTTAAAGTAAAATAATCTTTCTGCATCTTTTCTGCAATGTATACTGTAAATTGTATATGCTTATATTATAGGAAATGGTAAATGTACTTGTGGGATCAGTAATACCAGCAGAAGTACAAAACAAATAAGATATATGTGTATGTTGGATAATATAGTCCATATTGTTTTATTGTGTTGATATTCTTGTGCGTTTGAACTCCTGAACTCAGCGAGCTGCTGTCAACCTTCCCCTCGGAGCCCACCTCTCTGGTTGTGAGCCAGGATGACCAGATGATGGTGGTTGGTACCGGCGAGGGAACTCTACATTTCATCCACACGCAGACTGGACAGGTACAAATGTGTTTGTTTTAAACACATTTTATAACGTTGTGGATCAACTCAGCAGCTTGTATTCATGCTTTGAATTTGTGAGATCAGTAGCAGACTGGATTCATTGACCATGTTTGTGTGTAGTTAATTTCCAGTTGGTATTTATTGTCATTAATGTGAACTTTATGCGTTTGCTGTTTTTATTTCTAGCTGAGACATTTTCTACCCTGATTAAACAAAAATAAATTCATACATAAATAATGTGCTGTCACACTTGCTGAGAATAAGAAGCCTTTAAAATGTCTAATATGCACTTTCTCCTGGCTGTGAGCAGGAGGTGAAGTCTCTGATCAGCAGCTGTGACGGCATCTCGAGCTGTGTCTTCCTGAAGGACTTACGACTTGCTACCACCTCCTTTGATGGGCGAATAGAAGTGTGGGACATTGAAAATGGATGCAGGTGTGAGAAGGGTTAAAAGGAAGGTTTAGATTTAATTTTTTACAAATATAGCGCCGAATCTTTAAAGTTATTTTACTTGTGTTTCTGTAGGACTGACGTTATTGATGGCCACACTAATATGATAACAGGAAGTGATGTCACTGCAGACAAGAAGCACCTCGCCACGGTTTCCCTCGACTGCATGATTAAAGTAACACTAAAAAGATGTTTGTGTTTTTCTGCCTCGACTTCTGTCTTGATTCAGTATCATGTGAAATAGGACCTCAGGAATGCCAGCGCATGTGGATCAAAAACAAACAGTGTTGTGTAATTTAGTTTTGTAGAGTGTTCATTGAACGAAATAATCTTCAATATCAGCTAGATTGTAATTAAGGTTCACAGAAAGGTAGAATATGTCCACTATTTTTCCAGCGTCTGTGTATAATAATGTTCAACACTTATGATTATGAGTTTAGCCAAAGTTGAGCAGCCCTTATGTAGATACAGTTGCATAAAAAAGTAGCTTTGCTTTCTTTTTTTCATAATCATTGGAAGTTGAAATTGTTCTCTAGCTCTAGTCTGTCTCCCTGAGGGTGAAAGTGATGATTAAGTGATGATGTGTTGTTAGTCATTTGTGCAGCTGCTTTGTTATGGTTTACAGCCTGACGCTGCACTGCCAGGTTTGACATCGTTCCTCGACTGTATTAATCAAACCTGTTTCTTCTCTTCAGGTGTGGTCTTCTGATAAAGGTACTGAAGTGTCCTCCGTGCTCAGCAGAAGCCCTATGAACTGTGTGACCTTTGACCCTAAGGGTCACCTTCTGGCTGCTGGCTGCTGGAATGGAAATGTGATCATGTGGAACTGGCTCAAGAATAAAAAACTAACAGTGAGCTCAATGCTGTGAATGTTGCAATGTTATTTCATTTTCACCATGAATGCATGTTAAAAATACATAATCAGTTCTACTAAAGATCTACAGGAGAAAAAAAATTGGACCATAAATATAACTGAAGTATGGAATATCGGAACCAATGAAAACATGTGTCTACAAAAGGGGGTGTGGTCTATTGAAACTGAGATATTTATTTTTAATTTAAGTTCT